TCTGGGGACCTCTCCTTGGGCCTGGGAACCCCTCCAGAATCAAGACTCTTGCAAACCTTAAAATGGCTCCCTTAGTTGAGATATATACTTCCCTAGTCCCATATCCATCCTTCCTCTCCCCTCCCATTCCCCCAAGCCATCCCCAATCCTCCCCCTCTCCCTTCTCTCTAACCATCTCCCCTTACTTCCACCCCCCCACCCCAACCCCCTGCACCCAAGTTTGCCTGGTAATCTTGTCTACTTCCTATATCCAAGAGGATAACTATAAGATTTTCTTCAGGTTCACCTACTTATTTAGCTTCTCTAGAATCATGAATTATAGGCTCAAAGACCTTTAACTATGGCTAGAATCCACTAATGAGTGAGTACATACCATATTCCTCTTTTTGGGTCTGGGATACAGCACTCAGTAAAGCGTTTTCTATTTCCATTCATTTGCATGCAAAATTCAAGATGTCATTGTTTTTTTCCGCTGAGTAAAACTCTAATGTATATATGTTCCGCACCTTTTTTAACCATTCTTTTATTGAGGGGCACCTAGGTTGTTTCCAGGTTCTGGCTTTTACAAATAGTGCTGCTATGAACATAGCTGAACAAATGCTTTTGTGGTATGATAGGGCATCTCTTGGGTATATCCCCAAGAGTGGAATTGCTGGGTCCTGAGGGAGGTTGACTCCCAGTTTTCTGAGAAACCGCCACACTGATTTCCACAGTAGCTGAACAAGTTTGCATTCCCACCAACAATATATGAGTGTTCCCCTCACTCCACATCCTCTCCAGCATAGGCTATCATTGGTGTTTTTGAGTTTAGCTAATCTGACCGGTGTAAAATGGTATCTCAGAGTTGTCTTGATTTGCATTTCCCTGATCGCTAAGGAGGTTGAGCATGACCTTAAGTGTCTTTTGGTCATTTGAAGTTCTTCTGTTGAGAATTCTCTGTTCAGATCAGTACCCCATTTTTTAATTGGGTTAATTAGAGTTTCAGTGTCTAGTTTCTTGAGTTCTTTGTATATTTTGGAGATCAGGCCTTTGTCTGATGAGGGGTTTGTGAATATCTTCTCCCAGTCTGAAGGTAGTCTTTGTGTCTTACAGTGTCCTTTGCTTTACAGAAGCTTCTCAGTTTCAGTAGGTCCCATTTATTCATTGATTCTCTTATTGACTGCGCTCCTGGGGTTCTGCTTAGGAAGTGGTCTCCTGTTCCTATATCTTGTAGACTACTTCCCACTTTCTCTTCTATCAGGTTCGAAGTGGCCGGATTAATGTTGATGTCTTTAATCAATTTGGACCTGAGATTTGTGCATGGTGATAGATATGGATCTACTTTCATTCTTCTACAGGTTGACATCCAGTTATGCCAGCACCATTTGTTAAAGATGCTTTCCTTCTTCCATTGTATACCTTTAGCTCCCTTGTCAAAAAATCAGGTGTTCATATGTTTGTGGGTTAATACCCGGTTCTTCTATTCAATTCCATAGGTCGACTTCTCTGTTGTTATGCCAATACCAAGCTGTTTTCAATACTGTTGCTCTGTAATAGAGTTTGAAGTCAGGGATGGTAATGCCTCCAGAAGTTCCTTTATTGTATAAGATTGTTTTGGCTATCCTGGGTTTTTTGTTCTCCCATATAAACTTGATTATTGTTCTCTCAAAATCTGTGAAGAAGTTTGATGGGATTTTGATGGGGATTGCATTGAATTTATAGATTGCTTTTGGTAGAATTGCCATTTTTACTATGTTGATTCTCCCAATCCAAGAGCAAGGGAGGTCTTTCCATTTTCTGGTATCCTCCTCAGTTTCTTTCTCAAAGACTTAAAGTTTTTGTCAAATAGGTCTTTCACTTCCTTGGTTAGATTAATCCCAAGATATTTTATGCTATTCGTGGCTATCGTGAAAGGTGATGTTTCTCTGATTTCTCTCTCTGTTTCTTTATCCTTTGTGTTAAATTTGTTTTTATCCTGGATGGCTTGCATCCATGGTCTCTTAGTTTCTGCAGTACATCTATCCAGGACAATCTGGCTTTCATGGTTTCCATAGAGAATTCCGGTATAAGTCTGACAGGTTTACCTTTAGAAGTTACTTGGCCTTTTTCCTTTGCAGCTCTCAATATTCTTTCTTTAATCTGTACGTTTTGTGTTTTGATTATTATATGGCAAGGGGATTTTTTTTGATCCAGTCTATTCGGTGTTCTGTATGCTTCTTGAACCTTCATAGGAATATGTTCTTTAGGTTGGGAAAGTTTTCTTCTATAATTTTGTTAAATATATTTTCTGGGCCTTTGTTCTGCAATTCTTCTCCTTCTTCTACTCCTATTATTATGTTTGGTCTTTTTGTGTCCCAGATTTCTTGAATGTTTTGTGATGAGAATTTGTTGGATTTGCTGTTTTCTTTGATCAGAGCGTTTATTTTCTCTATGGCATCTTCAGAATCTGAGATTCGTTCTTCTATCTCTTGTATTCTATTGGTTATGCTTGATTCTGTAGTCTTTGTTCATTTACCTAGATTTTCCATATCCAGCTTGACCTCAGTTTGTGTTTTCTTCATTGCCTCCATTTCAGTTTTCATTCTTGAACTGTTTCCATTACCTGTTTGTTGGTTTTTTCTTGGTTTCCCAGGATATCATTCATGGATTGACTCATTTCTTCAAACTTTTTGTTATACTTCTCATCCATTTCTTTAAGGGAGTTATTCATATCCTGTTTAAGGGACTCTATTGCTTTCATAATGGCACTTTATTCCACTTCTTCTGGATTAGGGTGTTCAAGTCCTTCTGTTGTAGGGTCGCTGGGATCTGGTGTTTTCATGCTGTTTTTCAGATTGTTGGAGGATTTCCTGCCTTGGCGTGTGCCCATCTCTTCCTTCAAATGTTCTCTAATGGATCCTCTGGTACCAGGTCAGGTTCCCCCCTCTGATGAATCTTCTGCTAGAGGATCAGTACCCCTTGCTGGCCAGGATTCTCGCTGAGCTGACACTGGGCCTACCTTTCTGCAGGCAGGCTATTGAAACCCAGGAACTCCCTCCTGCCGAGTTACACTTCCAGCCCAGTCCAGGCATGCCAGCTGGCTGTGCTGGGGGATTTTATGGCCCTGAGGAGGAAGAGAGGAACAAAGGAAAGGGTTCCTGGGTGAAAGCTGGGATGGGATTGGAGGCGAGAGGGCTTAGCCCCTGCTGAGTGACCAGGAAGTCGAGGGGGTCAGGGAATGTCTGAGCTCCTCCTTAACAGGCTTCTGTCGCGGGTCAAGAGCAAACACCTTCTTCTATCTCTTGTATTCTGTTGGTAATACTTGTCTCTGCAGTTCCTATTCATTTACCCAGATTTTCCATATCCAGCCTTCCCTCGGTTTGTGTTTTCTTCATTACCTCCACTTCATTTTTCATGTCTTGAACTGTTTCCCTTACCTGTTTGATTGTTTTTTCTTGGATTTCTTGTTTTTCTTGGGTATCTTTGAGAGATTTATTCATTTCATCTACTTTTTTGTTTGTTATCTCCATTTCTTTATGGCAGATTTTTCACCTCCTGTTAAAGTTCCTCTATTTTCATATAGTTCCACTTACAGTCGATTTCTTCTATTTCTTCTGTAGGAGGGTGTTCAATTCTTCTAGTTTCGTGATCCCTGGATTCTGGTGATGTCATGTTGCCTTTCAGGTTCTTGGAGGAATTCTTGCATTGGCACCTGCCCATCTCTTCCTTCAAATGGAGCCAGGATAGTCTTGGTGTCTTGGTTCAGTTTTTGCTGTGACTGACTCTCTGGGTGAATCTCTTCAGTGCAGGCACAGGAGCTGTTCCTGTCCCTCTAGATGGTACTCCTCAGCACCCTCTGGATGGAATTCCTCAGCACAGACACAGGGATAGCCCTCTGGATGGAACTCCTCAGCACCCTCTGGATGGAACTCCTCCGCACTCTCTGGATGAAACTCCTCAGCACTGAAATAGGGACAGCTGGTATTCCAAGGACACAGGAGACAAAACGGCGACCGTGGGGGCAGGGTAGGGTCAAGTGGAACACCGAAGACCCTGCAGCAGAAGCTGAGTGGGGGACTGTGCTCTCTTTCAGGACAGTCCACCCCGGATAGCATGCATTCGCCTCTCTGGATGGAAATCCTCAGCACTGAAATAGGGATAGTTGGTATTCCAAGGACACAGGAGACAAAAGGGCAACCGTGGGGATAGGGCAGAGTCGAGTGGAACACAGAAGACCCTGCAGCAGAAGCTGGGGGGGGGGCTATGCTCTCTTCCGGGACAGTCTGCCCCAGATAGCACAGACTCACCCCTCTGGATGGAACTCCTCAGCAATGAAATAGGGATCGCCTGTTTCTTTTTATATGTGAGTTGATTCCATTTATAATAAGGGATATTAATGACTAGAGATTGCTAGTTCCTGTCATTTTAGTTTTTGTTAGTGGTGATATTACTGTATTTTTTTCTTCTTTGGGATTTGTTGCTGTGAGATCAATTGTCTATGTTTTTATTAATGTAGCTAACTTCCTTGATTTGGAGTTTTCCTTCAAGCACTTTATGTATGGCTGGGTTTGTGGCTAGGCATTGTATAAATTTGGTTTTGTCATGGAATATTTTATTTTTTTCAACTATGATGATTGAAAGTTTTGGTGGGTATATTAATGTGGGATGGCATTTGTGGTATCTTAATGTCTGTATAATGCTTGCCCAGACCATCTGGCTTTCATTGTTTACATTGACAAGTCAGGTGTAATTGTGATAGGTCTGCCTTTATATGTTATTTGGCTTTTTTCCTTTGCAGTTCTTAGCATTTTCTTTATTCTGTATGTTTAGTGTTTTGATTATTATATAGCAAGGGGATTTTTTTTGGTACAGTCTATTTGGTGTTCTGTAAGCTTCTTGTATCTTCATATGCATATCTTTCTTTAAGTTGGGAAGTTTTCTTCAATGATTTTGTTGAATATATTTTCTGTGATTTTGAGTTAGAATTCTTCTTCTTCTATTCCTATTATTCTTAGGCTTGGTCTTTTCATGGTGTCCCAGATTTCCTGGATATTTTGTATCAAGTTTTGTTATATTCAATGTTTTCTTTGACTGATGAATCTATTTCCTTTATTGTATCTTCAATATTTGATATTCTTTTTTCCGTCTCTTGTTTTCTGCCGTTTATGCTTGCACTAGTGTTTTCTGATAATTTCCCAATATTTTCCATTTCCAGAATTTTCTCAGTTTGTGTTTTCTTTATTGTCTCTAAGTTTACAAGTCTTTAATAGTTTTTCTCATAAGTTTGATTGCTTTTTCTTGATTTTCTTTAAGGGATTTGTTGATCACTTTCAATTTTTTGCTTTTCTTTTCCTCCATTCTTTGAGAGAATTTTTCATATCTGCTTTAATAGCCTCAAACATTTTTCTAAAGTTATTAGGTCATTTTCTTCTGCTTCATCTGTATTGAGGTGTTCAAGTCTTGCTGTTTGTGAGTCACTAGTTTTTGTCCATGTTGTATTGCTCTTTATGGTGTTGAGTGTGTTCTTATCTTATCTTATCTACCCTTCTTTGCCTCTGATTGGTATAGTTGAGGCCATGTCCCTGGTGATTACGCTTCCAGGTGCCAGTGGATCCAAGGCTAAGTTGGTTGCTCCCTATTGTGGAGTTGGAACCACATTCTAGTCACCCAGGAGGTAATTCGTAATTCTTATCAGTCACTGGGCACTCCTGGAGTTTGCTTTGCAATCCTGGAGGTCAACTGTGGGCTCCTGAAAAAAAAATTAAAGAATTTTTCACTTCAAGAGGGAGGAAACAGGGCATAGTCATAATCTGAATGAAATAAAAGCAAACTCTAACCACATAAATAACTCAATGTCCAATGTCTGGGATTAACTCATGATCTTCTGGGCTCCTCCACAAGGCTTGAGTCACTTCGCTGGCTCCGTCCTATAAAGCTTGTCTACTAGTCTTCAGCTGGCTGTACTCCCCTGGTGCTGCTGTTCTTGGTAGTCATCCCATGGTACTGGCACCTGCTGTAACTGGGCTACACTTTCACCAGTGGCCTTTCCTGGGCTCTCTTCAGGAACTTCGACAATGCCAGCAATGTGACTCACATTGCTGAAATAGATTAAAAATGAAACTGTTACCTATTATGAAAAATTAATTCTTCTCTATCAAGAATTTCTTTATGGTATAAAGCATATTAGATTCATTTTGATTATGACAATTTGCAAACACTGAACAATTTTTCTAAGAATATAAAATCAATTGTGTGAGTTACTTGTTAATTACATAAAAAATAATCTTCATTAGAGATTAACAAGCTATTGCTATAAGCCCCATGAAGCACACCACTGACCAGGCCCTTCCATTGAGGACCTTCAACTGCCATGTTCCACACACAGAACACTATAACTGCCTTAATGACTAGCCCCCGTCCCTGCCTACAGAGTAAAAAGCCCTAGTTCTGGACTTGAAACCCCACAAATCCCTGCCAGGGAAAGCTTCACCCTGAAAGGGTCCACCCACCTTCCATAAGACATTCTGTATAAGCTCCGCCTTCTGCTTAGTTCTCTGCTGTTTCTCACCTAACAGAGGCAACTACCCCCCTGGTTTTCTCCCTCTCCAATAATCTTGTGAGGTTTGTGGTGCAGCGTGACTTTGTGGTCTTCCTTGACTCCCAACTGCCAGGATACCTTTCCATCTGAACTATAACACTTATTTGGTGCTGAAACCTGGGATAAGCTCTCCTACTGCCTGTCTTTCCCCCTCTAAACTGCATTGGGGCTAAGCTGCACTGGGGTTGCCCTATTCCTCATCTTCAGTCCATCTGCAGCAGACTCTCCTGCCAGCTCATTGGTCACTAAGCACCCTGTCCACCAGCAGCAATTAATTAGGTGAGTTCCCCCTTATGTCATTGTAAACATTTCCCTGAAACCCCTCTAGTATTCCTGGAGGTAGAGTAGCCCCAAGCTATAATCTTTAAGGCGATGACTGGCCTTCTTCACCTGACCCGTCGCCTATCCCTTGTAGCTGCAGTCATACAGTTTCCTTGGGACCAACTGGGTTATTGTGCCTTTTCCTGCCCTTTTCTCCACCCTTCCCTTCGGAGATTTCTGCAATCCCAAAGCTTCTCTAGGTCCTCGTGGCTTTTGTGACTCCACTCTCCAATCTTTTTCTGTAGATCAATCCCCTCCCCTAGGGTTTTTGTCCTCTCTTTGTGGCATCTACAAGAACAGTAGTACCAGGCTCTGATTTTTTTCTTTGGCTTAGACAGGCTCAGCCCGATTCCTATTGAGTGTGGCAATGACCCCTGAATGATTTGGCCTTTGTTCAGTCCTCCCTGAGTGCTGTAAATTCCTATGACCACAGGCTGCAGTGACATTTTCCTGCCCCTCTCTCATCCATGGGAATGTCTTCCATACTCTCTCATTCTTCCTTGGATGTTTGATTCACATTCCAGGTTTATAGCAGCATGGAATGACAAAGGAACTGTTCAAGTCATAAACTCCCTAGCAGTCCTGAGATTCACCGCTGGTATCACTACTGGAGCAGCAGGACTGAGGACTCCCTTAGCTATTTAGCATTAGTTTTCCTCTTCGTTCACCCAGGATCTCTAAATGGGTGTCTGAGATCATCCTTACATTCCAAGGGCAAATAGCCTCGCTGGTCAATGTAGTGCTACAAAGCTGGGGAGGATTAGATTTACTAACAGCAAAAAGAGGTGGTTTCTATCTCTTCCTCAGGGAGAAATGTTGCTTCTTAGTCAACCAATTAGGTATAGTAAAAGACAGTATCTGTTAACTCCATATGGATCTTAAAAATTGTAAGAAATAGCTCAATGCTTCTGGCCAGTGGATCCTTGATAATCCTATATGGAATTGGATATTTCCCTTCTTAACTTGCCCTTCCTCTTTGCTTAATCCTACTAGTCACACTTTGCCTTATAAATGTTTTGTCTAGATTTCAACAACAGATTCAGAAGATTTCTAACCAGACCTCTAATCAATTGCTATTACAGGATTACCGGCCCCTAGCTACAGAGCCAGAGGCCAGATTATACCCTGACTGTGAAGATCAGCTTGCCCAAAGATTTCAGTGCTCCATTAAACAAGAAGTTGATAACAGTTGCCCCTCCATTTGGTTTATCAATAATAAACCAAAAAAGGTAGAATGTCTTTTTTAGAGATTAACAAGCTACTGCTAAAAGCCCCATGATGCACACCAGTGACCATGCCCCTCCCCTGAGGACCTCCAACTGCCAGGTTCCACCTAAAGAACCCTCAAAATGCCCTAATGGCTGGATCCTGCCCACACCCTAAGAGAGAGAAAAAAAAATCTCTGGACTTGAAATCCCACCAATCCTCACCCTAGAAACCTTTGGATAGGTTGGGGTACAGTAAACTCCAGAGATCTTCCTATCTCTACCCTCAACCTCTAGTAACTGCTGAGGTTATTGAAACACAAGGAACCCTTTGACTTTTTATGTGAGTTAGTACTGGGTCTGAACTCAGGTCCTCATGCTTGATAAGTAAATGCTTTCTTTTCCACCCACTGAGCAATCTTTTTCTAAATTCTGATATATATATATATATATGTGTGTGTGTGTGTGTGTGTGTGTGTGTGTGTGATATAATATATATTATATATATATATTATATATATTACATTCCAAACACAGTTCTCCCATCACTTCTCCCATCTCCCAGCCCATACCCCCATCCACTCTGGAGAGATAGTTGTGTAGCTTAGTGTATCTCAGGGGTCCCTGGCAGTGGGACCAAGATTGGTAGCTGATGCATGAGCAGGCTTTTTGAAGCCTATGCCTGTGGTGGAATGTCCTGCTCAGACTTGATGCAGAGGGGGAGAGACTCATTGAGAAATCTTGCAAGGCCTGTAAGTGAATATTTTAAATTCCAAATCTTCTTTTCAACAGTTATCAGATATTTTGGCCAAAATAAGCAAGATTTTAAAAAAAGAAAAGACTAGATTGCAACATCACCAGAGTATCAATCTGGACTCTTCCTGTGCTCTCTGGTCTTTGGTATCTCCATAAAAAAAATTTAGAGAGGACACACAGAAGATAGGCTGAGTTTAAATGGGATAAAAGTAGAACATACTTGGTGTAATGGTGGATATTGGCCACAAATGTTAATAGCTTATGGCCAGAGGGATGTTTTCTGTCCTGGTGATTAACAGGCACATTGGAATTGACTTTAATGTGAGAGGTTAATAGTATAGCCTTGCTGTAACTAGAAACCCTTGAGCAAATAGTGACCTGGTAAGGTTTAAATCCTTATCTATTAATGACTCTCCTAAAAGTTTAGAATGTCTGGCCACTCTGGGGCCAGACTTTCAACTCAGTTATTATTCTTTTGACTCTTAACCAGAGCTCTTAGTTTTCAGTTTGACAAGCTACATATTGTCAAAGAGGGGTTGATCTCCAATAACTTCCAAACATATATCTAACTAGATACTTAAAAATAATATTAGTTCTATTAATGCATTCGATATTAATTAAGAAACTGCAAATTGTAATATATTATTTAGGCAATGGAGAGCAAAAATTATACAAAGAAATTCAAGATCCACCCCATTTACTTCATGAGACTTCTGGTATATAAGCTCACCTGAATGCTTATTTAGTTGACTGCTGCAGGAACATAAGGTCTTGACTAAGACAATGGTAGACCTACTTCTTACATACAATGACAATTTTCCCAGCATAAGTCTCAAGGCTGTACTCTCTTTGGAGAAATGGATCTTAGGCCCTTCTTCATGTTTTGGCAAAATGCTTTACTACTCTTCCCACACTCACTGCAGCTTTAAGTCCCAGAAGAGATGTTTTCTGATGGTATTTTCACAATGCTTGAAAGATGCTTTAATTGAATAAACTCTCTTACTCAGACCGAAACATAAAATTCAGATTATGATTACTTCCAGTCAGGATAAGGCTAGTCTAGATAAAATTTAATAAAGTAGTTGAGAAATATGGGATGGGTAGCAAGATCTCCATACATAGGAGAAATTTTATTATATTGATTTTAACACCTAGTTTGAATGTTCGACAGGTTTATTTGTACATAATATAAACTACCAGATACCTTAATTCAAGATAATTGTGTATTTAATAAATAACTGCACTATCTAAAATATGTATTTAACAAATATTGACAACATTCAGACCTTCCACTAGTAAAAATACCATAAAAACTCATAAGAACTATATACAACATTGTTTTGATATTCACATATAACTATTCTCTGACTTAGCAAACTAGAAAAAAATGTCTACTAATTTAAAAAGCCTTATATCTAATAGTAGCTAAAATTTTAAATGGTTATAAATAGAATAAATAATCTTTAAAAGCATGTTGTAAAATTATACATAGTTCATTTGCATTTATTTATCTTACAAAAACATTAACTCACTCAAGTTTAGATTAACATGATGTCTTTGAAAGTTATTGTGGGGCTGTGGTATCTATCTGCCTAACTTTGTTCCAGAGAGGTGTGTGAGAAGACAAAAACTGAACTTAAGATGGTAAAGAAACCTCAAGACAAATCTGACATTAGGAGATTGTTTAACTGTAACTTCTCACTTGATATTTTTTTCTACCTTGAGAAATTTACTAAGGAATAATGTTCTCTACTCCTGGTGGGTAATTCTTTTGGAGATTCTCTAATAAATATTTCTTGCATATTAGCAGTGATATATGTCAAGACTCATCAAAGTATTTTCAAAATGACTCACTCTTTCAGCTGTCAGTCATCTTGGAGGAAGATGCAAGATGAAAATAATTGCTTATTAGATTTAAGGCATGAGAATTTAGAAAATGAAATTTCAAAGACATTTTTTTTAAATAATATATGACCCCTGTATCAGGAAATTGAACAGACAAATATGTAAGACTACCATCCACTAAGCATAATTATGAACTAAATTATAAAATCTGGGAGTAGCCCTGTGTAGTTTCAAGTTCCAACCATTTCTTTAAAAATGTGTGTGTGTGCACATATATATGCTATCTTAAGCACAAAATATAATTCTTATCACATGCTGAGACATGAGGTGGCAAGACCACGTCTTTATTGGAAACACTGTTGCCACACTCACCTGACACTGGCCTAGGTGGGAAGATGACAACATGAGAAGGGAAGTGAGATAACTGGTCTAGCTGACAACTGGTGACCCATAGACCCTTGTTAAACATGTAAGCCCTCATGGGTTACATGGGATCACACGGAATAAAGAAAAATTTTCTGAATACCTTTTGAAAGCTGTACCTGGTAGTATCTGCTAGTATTCTTGGCACTGCAAAGGTTTAAACAGAAGTATTGTGAGTTTGAAGTCAGCCTGGCTCACATACATTGAGTCCTTGTCTCAAAAAATCTAAAGGAAAAGAGAAAGAATTGTTGAAGTCATACAGAGTAAAACTTCAAATAATTGTCTGAAGAAACATTAACCCAGAGAAGATATAATTATATAAAGTCACTGGAGATTCAGACAAAGAGATGATTTATAATGTTAGAATCTTATGTTTGTTTTATTGTTAATTTATATTTGTAAATCAGTACATAAAACAAAAATGTACATCTTTATGGAGTAACATGTAAAGTTTTAATATATTACTATATTATATATAATATATAGTATGTTAAATCAGCTTAAACATGTTCTGTTTATTTCTTTTCTTGTGATAAATCATGCAAAATCTTTTATCCAACCCTTTTGAAATATGGAGTTTATTCCTGTTATATTGTGCCTATAAAATGGTACAACAAAATATTTACTTGTGGCAACTCTAACCTGAAGTCCTCTGGTCTGTCTTTTCCAAACTCTGGCAGTTACTTTCTACTTTCAGTTTCAGTTACTATTTTTAAAAAGCACAAATAGATGAAACCGCTGGGTGTTGTGTAATAATTTATTCCAAGATTGAAACATAACCTTCTGCAGAGACACTCCTTAAATAGGAATGTAAACAAATGTAAACAAAACAGCCTCAGGAAGTTCCTGAAACAGACCAGATTCTCTGTGTTCCTCCCTCCCAGAGTGGACAAGCTGCAAAGACTCTCAGATAAGTCAAACTCCAAAGAAGATTTGGAGACTCGACCCAGCCAAGGTGCCTAAAAGAGGTTTAGAGTGACTGGAAAGGACCCTTTCCAGTTTGCTTACAGGCTGTGTAGTCGGCTCTATCTAGGTTTCCACCTTTTATGAGTTAGCACTCCTGCTGGAGTGAGATTTCATGATGCAGCTGTCTGAGTTTTTTCAACACCTGCAAATAACCCCTTGCCCATAATCCTGTAAGTATCCAATAAAACTCATTGGTTCACCAAATTGGGCTTTGGTGGTATCCATACTCCGTAATGGGCTCCCTATCTGGGATATGAAATAGCTAAAGTAATTCAATCTTGTCCTGATTCTCATTTGTGTCTGCTAGATATTTTGCAGCCTTTCTTACCCTCAATGGCCACATCTGTTTTAGCAATGCTTTTGGGACCTGACATATTAACCAGAATGTTTGGGCAAGCTAAAACCAAAAACTAAAATAATTAAGAGAAACTGTAAATCAGAAGGAATTGTCTTACTGTTGTTCCTTTGCGGTGCCTTTAAGGACTAACCACGCCCACTCCCCAGCCACTTCTGATCTCCCTCATTGCCATCTTCCTCTCTCTCTGTCCCCCATTTCTTGGTGTGTACACATGTGTCTCTGTCTCTCCCTATGTTTCTCTTTATGTTTCTCTGTTTCCCTCTTCTCTAAGTAATATGTTTAGCTTTATGTATAGCCTTATGTCCATTTACTCTGCCGTCCACCGCATCCAGCCGCCTGACTCTGCCGCTCGCCCAGGGAACACTGCTCTGGTGGCAGCCTCTGCCTGGCTCGCAGGCCGCTCGGGGCATCCCAACCTATCTTCTTTTTAAAGAACAAAATTGGTGCCGTGACTCAGATATCCTGAACTGGGCTCTTTTTCCACTCCCACCACTGGCTTCCCAGACGGCTTCAATGGGTGAGTCGCTCCTCGTTCCGCTACAGACGGTTGCTTTCCTTTACCGGAATAGTGCTTGGACGACCCTGGGGGTTGGTCCGCCTGCGTTAGCACTGCATACTTCCCGTGCTGTGCATTCGACATTCGTCTGGGGACTGGGTCCTCGATTTCTTTATCTTTTTCTATTTTCACTTCTTTTCTTTCCTCTTCTCTCCTCTCATCGTAACTGACGCTACAGAGTGGCCCCGGCCTCTGGTTTCTGAGTAACCTGCCCAGATCCAGTTAGGCCCATAACACCCCACCCGTGGATCAAGGACGCTTGTTCACGTGGTCCTGGGTGTTTGTTGCATGAGTTTTCACGATTCAGACTCTGAATAGCAACCGTCCATGGCGGCCCCCGGCTTTTAAAATTCCTACGGCTTTTCCAATCAAGCCACAACACGTGGCTGCCGCCATGTTCATTGGGGTCAGGTGACTTTATCGCTAGATTCACTGAGAGCCAGATCACGCGACCAAGCTCTCTCATTCTTATGTATGTCCTGCCTTTCCTCTCCCCCTTCTCGGTGTTCTCGTTAACTCTGATTACAGGTGTTTTGCATACAGACATGCTTTCTGATAGGGCCCATCAGAAGCATGCCCTCTGCCTGATTCCTGTTCAATCTTTCTATGTATAATGATTGTTCATTTCATCTCGTTTCAGACTACAAAATCATAAGTCTCATATTTTAAACTGGTATGTACTTTTAACTCTCTCATATTTAATATTAAGCTGTTCTCTACCATTGTCAATTCTGCCACTAATCTTAATGTTACAGTTTTTCTTTCTTTCTTTCTGTCTTTTTACAAATATAGATCTTACCTGTTAAGAGTCAATACAGTCAAACTCAAACCCAACCTTCCAGACAGATTCTATACTGCAGCTATACCTAATAAACAGCCTCAATTGCTCAGCGATCTGGGGAATGCGTTATTTAAATATTTAATTACTAAATAACTTTTCATAACAAAAAGAGACAGGTTGGCTCCTAGCAAGCACTCTGTTTCCTCCAAGAAGACAAAAGACAAACGGTCAAAGACCAGCGTCCATCTGCAGTTTGCTTCGACTGTCAAGCGTTGATCATTGGGCAAAAACTGCCTTTCACCTAAACTGAAGACTTCCAAACGTGAACAGGATCACTGGAATCGACAGCCTAGCTGCCCAGGTCAAGGTAGGCCTGTCTTCCTAAAGATTTCTTAGCCCACAGGGTCTTCAAAAGCCTGACAGGCTCTGCACTAAACAACAAAGGTCAAATGCAACCTTCAGCGGCCAGGGAGGACCCAAAAGAGTAACTCTGGATGCCAACCAAGTAAGTTCTCTGTCATTTTTTAATCAGTAACTCAAGTAAAATGTTATCCTTCTCAAAGATCTCTGATGGTCTGATAGCGAAGAGGTTTTGCCAGGTTGCTTCACCAAATAAAAATACTTTTCATTATAATTTCTGTTTTTACAAACCCAAGGAGTTCTTAATATATGTCTAAAGCTTCTATTTTTCTTATGAGTTCCAGGGAGCCGAATTAAAGAACCCATCATAAAGAGGTAAGATACAAACCCCTCAATTCCCTGGTCCTAAAAATGTTTTTTTTTTTAAATTTAACTTTGTCCTCTGTTCTGCTAATACCCTAACCAGGTACAAGGGACACCAGACATTTCCATGCCACAGACACCTGTCGGGAACAGAGACCAGCTATGCCAGGATGTGAACAGCACCCAGCCTTTTCTCGGATCTCCCTTACCCACCCCCCCAAAGACAATGCCCACACATCAGCCGGAAGCAGTCTTGCGAATTCGTCGCCCCAGTTCCTTCAAACTGTAATGTCTAACCTTCTACTTTTTATTATAAAAAGGATCCGGGAATGTTATTCCTTTGCGGTGCCTTTAAGGATTAACCACGCCCACTCCCCAGCCACTTCTGATCTCTCTCATTGCCATCTTCTTCTCTCTCTGTCCCCCCCCCGTCTCTTGGTGTGTACATACGTGTCTCTGTCTCTCCCTATGTTTCTCTTTATGTTTCTCTGTTTCCCTCTTCTCTAAGTAATATGTTATGTTTAGCTTTATGTATAGCCTTATGTCCATTTACTCTGCCGCCCACTGCATCCAGCCACCTGACTCTGCCGCTCGCCCAGGGAACACTGCTCTGGCGGCAGCCTCTGCCTGGCTCGCAGGCCGCTCAGGACATCCCAACCTATCTTCTTTTTAAAGAACAAAACTTATGGTGTCTGGGAAAAAATGTCATTAAGCTCTGCAAAAGTACAGATTTTTCTTCAATTCCCGCCTCCACTCTATCCCCCCCCCAAAATAAAATCACTGATGTAACTATGGTTTTGTCTTTAAAAATGTTGTACTTCTGAGTTTCAACACCAAGAGACTTGGAGCCATGAGTCTGCTCTTGATTGTTGGAAATAGAAGGATTTACACACCGTTAACTGGTTTAATTAGTGTGTCTGTCAATAACTACCTTATGTGGGTCATTTCAAGTAGATGTGTGTGATGAGTCTCCACAGGAAAATCTTATCACACAACACAAAGTACTTGTCTTTCTGTGAATGACTTAATTCTAATGATTTCCCGTTTCATTCATGTTTTGCACTCACTTTATGGCTTAATAGTATTCCATATAGGATATGTAGAACATTTCCTTGATCTTTTCATCAGTGACAGGTACGCATCTCCCTTCTTGACCACTGTAAATGCTGTTACAGAAAACATGGGAGGGCAGATATTATGTTAATATATAGGTTTCATTTCCTTTGATTAGATATCCTAGGGTGGAATTGCTTTTTCATTGGTAGTTCTTCTAACTATTCAAAAAATTTCATAAAATTTTTGAGGAATCTTAAATTTAAAATATAGTTCTATAATAAAATATGCATTCATTTAATCACATTTGCTCATTACACTGCATGATACTTAATGACTATGCTGTGACCAGGGCATATGTATAAAGTGGATTTGAAAGGAATTAGAGTAATGGATGACCAATATTTAGCCTAAGCTTCTAAAATTAGTAAACTGAAACAATTGTACACTGTTACAACTCCTTTTACAAATTTTAGAACAATTTATTTTTGCTGGCAAGAATCATTGCCTTTTATTGTTTTACTAAATTTATATTTAAACTAATTAAAGAAATTGTATGTATTAGTGGAGTCCTGTGTTATTCCTGTATGTATATGCAGTGTGGTACTTAAATCAGGTTTCTACACTCTCAAGTATTAATAATGAACTTTTTGATGAAAACTGGCCAAGCACGTCTGTGTTTTCTTGGGAAGACAAACAAGGTCATTTTCTCCAAAAAGAAAATCAATAAAAGACTTTAAAAAATTATTCAATTCAAGTCTTGAGAAACTGATGCATTTAAT